ACTCACATATTTGTAAGGATCACTTTTAAAATAATAAGAATTACATTGGTAAAAGATTAAATAGGGACACATTTAGAAAATGAAATATTATAATAGAAACAATCGAGGAAAAAAAAATACTTAAAAGAAATATATCAAAAAAAAAATTATAAATAGCTTTTGGTAGAAAGAATAAAGTAGAAACTCATATGAAACATATCACTTTAATAGAAGCAAAGAAAGAGGAAAAGTATTTAAAATTACCTCAACATTTACAAATTAATGAAGCTAAAAGGATGGCATGAAAGAGCCTTTTTCAAAGAAGATACGTTTGAGGAAAAAATTGCTAATTGGAACAATTAGAGAAAATTATAAAACTTACTGAAATATCCGACAAATTCATTAGTATAAATCTCAAACTCAATCGAGATTTAGAAATGAATTTCTTGATATACTTTTGAATTTTAATACTGTAATTATGTAACACTAATTAATGAAGAATATTTTGTCACAATTTTATCAAATTCAAATTGTGGACCTCGTTTTAAGTATGAGATTATGTTTTAATGTGACGAGGTTTTTAGAACAAGGATTCCGGTAAATTTCGACACGAATACGCATGAGGAGAAAAGTACTATGAGAAGATTAAAAGAAATTCTAACTCTGTTCAAGTCAAGTAGCTAGTCGGTTTAGAAGAACCAAAACGTTAATATAAAAATTCATGATGGATGGTCGAGAAACTCAAGAAAATATCCGGAATTGAATATTTCTCGATTACAACAAAGCTAAGTAACAGTAAATTTAAATCATGCCATACACATGCAATACAGTCGGTAGAAATTAGAAATTACAGTCAGTAAAAATTACACTGCTACAAGTAAGGATATAAGTTGATTTAGGGTCCGTTTAATTCGTTTATTCTAATTTTTAATTTGAGTTGAGGTGTGACTTTATGTGAGAGCTTTTTACTGTAGTAAAACAGTTAAATATGACTGTTTCTAAGAACTTTTTACTGTAGTAAAATTCAAATTGTAAAATAAACGATACGTTAATAACATCAAATCAATAGGCTTCCTAGGTAGGATCTTAGGACAAATCTAATTCTATGGTCTAGAATTAAAGGGAGATGAGATCCTAAGGCTACAAGTGAATCTTGGGGGAAAAGATATATATATATATATATAATGAGGGTGGCCGAATTTGTAGAAGAAAAAGAGGTCCAGCTTAATCCATTAGAGAAAGGCATAAATTATGCATGAATAGTGTATGATTTTAAGGGAAAGACATTGAATTGAAATAAAATATGTTATGGTACAAAGAGGAGAATGAGGAAGTATGGTGACATTACTTGAACTCTATAAAATAATATGGGATTTGTACAAGTTACTAATGCAATTTGACCAAGGACAATTACTGGGTATGGTGAGAATTGAAACTTAGACACAATGTAAGCAAGAGAGAGATCACATTTAAGGCAAAATTAATAGTTGTAACGTCTCAACCTTGTGGGGTTCACCTTGTGGGACTCCAATATACTCCTTACTTATACTTACTGTTTTTTTTTTTTAGTATCTAGTGACTTTTAAAGATTTTTTTCGTGTCCTCCAACATTTGAACCCAAAATTTTCGTTCTTATAAAGATTTTAAATTAAGTGTCGGTACCAATTGATCTTTAAAGTCAATTAATGACGCTATAAAAAGTTTGTATAATGGAGTAGTCAACCGAGCAAAGAATTGGGTTTCACTTTTCAGAATTGACGACAAGTAGTACTAGACGAATATATCTTACTACGTCGTCTCATCGTTATGAGTTATGCAATAAAGTATATGACATGAATGATTTATATTTCGGACCGTAGCGGTAGGGATGAAGGCGTTGGGATTGGCTTGCTTTCGAAGAAACTTCACATGGAAGCTTTTGCTTCTTTATTTGTTGAGGGTCTTGAATCTCTTTAAATTATAATTCATGAATATCCTTTTCATATTCATCCGAAAGTTAATCACGTGGTTTGCAATATTGTAATTGTTTGTTGCTTTTGTTGTGTTTTAGGTACGGATGAAGCTTCGGCCCAAGTTGACGGACACTCAATATTTTTCTTATCTAGAATATACATGCACACACAAAGACATATAATATATGTGTGTGTATATAGGACTTGTTTTTTTTTTTTTTTTTTTTTTGCATAATTTGAGTTGTGTATCTGAGAGAAAAATACTGTAGTAAGAAAACTGAATTTGAATTTTTATAAAAAAAAACATTGTAATAATATGACTTGAATTATGAAATTAACATACTCATAGATTTTTTTAACTCTGTATTTGTCTATTCAATAATATTTTAACAAGGTCTCCCAAACTACTTTTTAATTGTAGACTTTGTGGTTTTCCATCTCTAGATTTTTCTTACGTTAGTAATGTTATTATGAGGGGAAAAGAGACAAATATCAGTTTAGAGTGATTTTTACTTTTTATTCTTAATTAATATCTTTTTAATCAAATAACTATTTTTGTCAAAGGGTTATTTTAGTCAAAAGTTATTAATTAAGAATAAGGGACAAAAATCAAGACTAATACATTCTTAAGGATAAGTTCAATTATTCTCCTTTATTTTTATTTTCTCCACATTTTGATTTTACTTTATTCTGAACTTCGTAATTTTCTTTTCATAATGTTAATAAAGTTGATAAGGCTAGCATATAGAATGAGTTTCAAGTTAGGTGCCAACTTAATTGGATAAAATCTGGCTTGCCTTAAGCTTGATCTAACCCGGTTCATTAATTTATTAAATTTTTAAGAGTATTATTAAGTGGACCACTAATTTATCATCGAGTGATGAAATCACATGTTTTGTGATTATGAGAAACACTACTTAGCTTTCCTTTAAGCAAGCAACCAGCCAATTGGTTATCAAGATGGATTCAAACCAAATTCCGTACTATATTTTTGAAAAGAAAGAAAGTTTTATCATCATGTACAGGACAGAAACAAAAAGCTATAAACTCTGAAGAACTTCTTTTAGGAAGAAACCTTTTTTTTTTTTTTCCTTTTTTTCTTTTTACAATTAATGAGCAAGAGTTTATTAGAAAAAAGAAATAAAGCTCCTAAAAAGAATGTTGTTTCTGATTATGATCTAGTTTTCAAAGTTTTTGTTATTTTCAGATTATTAGCGGATTTTTTTCCCAATATATTTCATTTTCGTTTTATTGCTCAATGTTGTTTTCACTCACGTTGTCGTTTAAACCAAGTTACCCCATTCTACTTTTTTGTCTCGTTTTTGGCTGAAAAATATTTTTTTGTCTCTCGTTTTAACCAATATTTTTGTTGTATTTTTTTTTCTTTTTGTAAATCTGATGGTTTTTTAAGGATATTATTTGTATTGAATATTGAAAAGAAAAAATAATATACTAAATTCCTTTTCGACATCTCACATATTATCTTTCAGTGATTGATGCCGATGATAAAAAACAGTTAGAAATTTTTTTTGTTGAAAATAAAAAAATAATTTACTAGATTCTTTCCTCCCCCCAGCTCCTCCAAACTAGATGCTTATGATTATTTCATTGTTCTGAGGTCAATATTAAAAAGATGGTAATTGTTACAAGGGATAGTTTTTTCTGATTGAAAATTTTATAACTATTTAATTAACAGGCAAATTCATATATAATTTAGCATTCCATTACTATATGGACCCACTTTAAGTGGAGCGTATGACATATACACAGTCACCTAACTCACGTTTCATATCTCTATCAGAAATCATCTTAAGGATCTTTGGATCCACCACTGGGAACTAATACTGTATTTGTAGTTTTATTAGGGTCGTTCATCCAATCCAATCCAACTTATTTTAGTCTATATACCTAATCCAATTAAAGGTCAGTTTTTAGAAATTTCATGTAATCCAATTCAATCCAATTGCCAATATATCATCCAATCCCATTGAGGTCGGTTTGGATTGGATGGACCAATTAGTTTTCAGCTTGAGCCTTTTGTACATTTTATAATTTTTATTTTCATATTCAACCTATTTGTCAGATCTTTTTAACACAATTTAAATGCTATAGTTGAAAAAAAAAAACAAGACTTAACATTTATAAATATTAAAAAAAATATAAACTCCAAATTACAAACATAAAAGTTGATTAAACATCCAACAAACAACTGTAAAGAAACATATTTTACTTTCCAAACTATAAGACAACATAGTAAAAAAACATAATCTAATAATCCAATGTGCATGTCTACTACCCTCTTTGATGATGATCCATAATAGAAAGAAAACATAATTCATTTTATTTTTTATTTTTTTATATAATATATAAAGATTGGATTCGGTGTTTTGAGAGTAAAATTAACATCCAATCCAATTCAAGTCGGTTTTAAATAAATCATTTCCAATTCAATCCAATTAAGATTGGTTATCTATTAAAAATGAATTAGATTAGATTGGATTGTTCGGTTTGATCGGATGATTGGATCCTATGAGAACCCCTCAGTTTTATAATAAGGAAACCGCTCATGTGTAATTTTCTCTTAATTTCACGAGGAAAGGCGTTGTATTTTATTCCGTTTTATTTTATTTTATACATTTATCCAATAATCGAAGTAATAAATTACTGTAGAAATTATCTATAACTATATAAGAAGTGTGAATGTTTTTACTGTAGCTCAAGACACAAAAACACTGTTTAAAGTCTTAGATTCCTCTATTTCGTGTTTTTCCTCTTTTTCTTTTATTTTCCTTTTTCTTTTAAACATTCTTTCATAAGTATCATATGATATACTTATTTATACATTTATAATATTCGACTTTGACACAAATTTAATTGAAATGTGTATTTTAGCGCATCTCCTTGAAATTTCTGTTGTTAAACAAATAAAAAATTACTAATCTCATAATAAAATCCTAACTTACTATTAAAATTCTTATAATAATTCACACGTGCGAAGAACGTGTTATCTGACTAGTATATAAATAGTTCTTGGATACTACCATTTTATCACACCACATAATGGCAGAACCAAACATGGTGGAAACAATTGAGGTCTGTTGGGTGGCTGCTGCAGTACCGGATCATGATCATCATGATCTTTATGATCATCATGATCTTTATGATCTTTCGTCCACTAGAACTTCAGTTCCAAAGTCCCTTCCTCTCACTTTCTTTGACTTACGCTGGTCACGTTTAGGCATTCCTTTACACCTCTACTTCTATGAAATGTCAGCCCCGGAGGACTTCTTCCACACCAATATCGTTCCAAGACTCAAACATTCTCTGTCTCTTACCCTCGGCCACCACTTCCTTCCTATGGCCGGAACACTCACTTGGCCTCTAGGATCCCCCAAGCCCGTCCTCACTTATGCCCCGGGCGACGCGGTTTCGCTCACCGTGGCCCGGTCCAATGCTGATTTCTCTCTTCTCAGCGACACTGATAACGTCATTTGCGACGCTCCAATGTGCCATCCTCTGGTTGCTGACTTGCCAGCATCCCGTGAAAGATTAGCGGTTATAGCAATTCAGCTCACCGTGTTTCCCAACTGCGGGTTTACGATTGGGATCACGTTGAATCATGTGATCCTCGACGCAAAAAGTTTCGTCATGTTTATGAAATCATGGGCCCGCATATGCGGATCACTTGGAGTTGGAATACTAGATGGTGTTCGTGATGATCTGCAATCTCGCATATGCTTGCCAGCGGATCTAGAACCATTCTACGACAGAGGCCTTATCATGGATCCTGCAAATCTTGAAGCCGTCTTCTCAAACCACTTGCTGAATTCTGATGGACCACAAAACAGAAGTTTACGGCCGCCTCTCGAACGTCGACTTCCGCCGGATTCATTTCAAGGGACTTTCCAATTTCCGCGAGAGAAATTAGAAAAGTTCAGGCGATTGTTAAAGGTAAAAATTAAAAATGAACGACAATATGGACATCCAGTTCATCTGTCCACATTTTCTCTAACATGTGCGTATACATGGGTTTGTTTAGTCAAGGCAGAAGGAATTAAAGACAGCCAAGTCGTTCTATTATTCCCAGTGGATTGTAGGTCTCGGTTAGAGCCTCCTCTTCCCCAAACATATTTCGGAAACTGCATCGCCACTGGATATGCAGTCGCCGAAAGCGAGTTGTTATTAGGAAAAGAAGGGCTTTTCGTAGCGGTAAAGGCCATTAGCGACGCAATAAAAAGTATCAACGACGGAGTTCTTGACGGAGCAAAGAATTGGGTTTCGGGATCACCGGTGTATAATATTACTACTACGTCAAGACTTGGAGGATTATACACTACTGCATCGTCTCATCATCTTGGGTACTACAATACTGATTTTGGATGGGGAAAACCGAAAAAAATGAACCTCGTCTTTAAGTATATAACAGGAATTATTTGTTTTTCGGACCGTAGAAATGGGGATGGAGGGGTTGAGATTGGGTTGATTTTGAAGAAACCTCACATGGAAGCTTTCGCTTCCTTATTTGTTGAAGGTCTTAATCTCATTGAATTGGCCTTGAATTCTATGTCAAGAATTCACCTCCGCCTTTAAGACAAGAAAGGAGCTTCAAGAGATCATGAGCCATTTGCAAGTCTGTTTGCTGACATATATATCTGAAGATTATATATCAAGTCAGTAAATAAATGTCTTTATACATATATATATATATATATATATATTTTTTTTTTTTTGTTTTCATACAAAGAGACTCTGATCTCTCGGTGTGTGTGTGTCCAAAAGTGTACAAGTAAGATAGTGGTGTGTATGTGTGAGTGATTCGGTGAGTGGGCCGGTCTGATCAGTTTATGTCAAAGGAGACTTAATAGTGTTGTATAAAAGCTTTAAGATTGCGAACACCTCTTGTAGAGAAAAAAAAAAAAATACAATAAACAAATATTGAAATGATTTCAAATCGGTCTCTTATTGGCGAAAAAATAATTGAAAAAATGAAAAATAAAAATCTCTTCAGTACGCGCTCTCTCTTTCTTCTAGGATTTCTTTCTTTTCTTTATGTGCGGCTTCTATTTTTCCTTTAGGGTCAGAATCTGAAACCGCCCCTTGGCTGGCCCCCATTTTTTCCTTTAGGACCGGAATCTGGTGCCTATGAAACTTATCTCTTTTAGATGGCTTCCATGAGTTCTTTCATAAAGGATAAATTTTCAGCACACCACAAATTAAACAGTGGGAAAGAATCATAATGAAAAAAGAGAAAGACAGGTTACTTACTCTTTGTCTTCAAGTACAAAGTTTCTATTTCTTCTTCTTCTTTTCTTTTTCTGTCTCGCCTCTTGACAACATAATATATTATTTAAACAGAAGATGAGATAGTGGGTTTCGAGATAAAAAGTATGTACTCCAACAGTACTAGGACGGATATATATCTTGCTACATAGTCTCATTGTTTTGGGTTCTGTTGTACTGCTTTTGGATGGGGACAACCGACAAAGGTGGATGGCTCTGCAGACGTGGGGATAAAGGCGTTCAGATTGGCTTGGTTTTGAAGCAACATCACATGGAAGCTTTTGCTTTCTTTATTTGTTGATGGTCTTGAAGCTTTTTGAATTAGCCTTGAATACTATACAATGAAGTATTATGACTAGGGCTAAGCAATTTTTTCTTTTCGACTATTAAGGGAGGAGAAATCTTTTTGGTTTAATCGAATGATTGAAGAGTGATAAATGGATTATTTTTGTACTTCTATTTCTACTAATAGTAGCATGTGGTGAGTAATTTTGTAAGCTTTTGTATGCGTGTTAAATTTCAATTATTATTTTATTAATTTTTTAATTTCTTTGATAGACATTTTATTTAGTACCTAATACGCAGTTAATACTCACATATTTGTAAGGATCACTTTTAAAATAATAAGAATTACATTGGTAAAAGATTAAATAGGGACACATTTAGAAAATGAAATATTATAATAGAAACAATCGAGGAAAAAAAAATACTTAAAAGAAATATATCAAAAAAAAAATTATAAATAGCTTTTGGTAGAAAGAATAAAGTAGAAACTCATATGAAACATATCACTTTAATAGAAGCAAAGAAAGAGGAAAAGTATTTAAAATTACCTCAACATTTACAAATTAATGAAGCTAAAAGGATGGCATGAAAGAGCCTTTTTCAAAGAAGATACGTTTGAGGAAAAAATTGCTAATTGGAACAATTAGAGAAAATTATAAAACTTACTGAAATATCCGACAAATTCATTAGTATAAATCTCAAACTCAATCGAGATTTAGAAATGAATTTCTTGATATACTTTTGAATTTTAATACTGTAATTATGTAACACTAATTAATGAAGAATATTTTGTCACAATTTTATCAAATTCAAATTGTGGACCTCGTTTTAAGTATGAGATTATGTTTTAATGTGACGAGGTTTTTAGAACAAGGATTCCGGTAAATTTCGATACGAATACGCATGAGGAGAAAAGTACTATGAGAAGATTAAAAGAAATTCTAACTCTGTTCAAGTAGCTAGTCGGTTTAGAAGAACCAAAACGTTAATATAAAAATTCATGATGGATGGTCGAGAAACTCAAGAAAATAGCCGGAATTGAATATTTCTCGATTACAACAAAGCTAAGTAACAGTAAATTTAAATCATGCCATACACATGCAATAGAGTCGGTAGAAATTAGAAATTACAGTCAGTAAAAATTACACTGCTACAAGTAAGGATATCAGTTGATTTAGGGTCCGTTTAATTCGTTTATTCTAATTTTTAATTTGAGTTGAAGTGTAATTTTATTTGAGAGCTTTTTACTGTAGTAAAACAGTTAGATATAACTGTTTATGAGAACTTTTTACTATAGTAAAATTTAAATTCTAAACTCAAATCGGTAAAATAAACGATACGTTAATAACATCAAATCAATAGGCTTCCTAGGTAGGATTTTAGGACAAATCTAATTCTGTGGTCTAGAATTAAAGGGAGATGTGATCCTAAGGCTGCAAGTGAATCTTGGGGGCAAAGAAATATATATATATATATAATGAGGGTGGCCGAATTTGTAGAAGAAAAAGAGGTCCAGCTTTTTCCATTAGAGAAAGGCATAAATTATGCATGAATAGTGTATGATTTTAAGGGAAAGACATTGAATTGAAATAAAATATGTTATGGTACAAAGAGGAGAATGAGGAAGTATGGTGACATTACTTGAACTCTATAAAATAATATGGGATTTGTACAAGTTACTAATGCAATTTGACCAAGGACAATTACTAGGTATGGTGAGAATTGAAACTTAGACACAATGTAAGCAAGAGAGAGATCACATTTAAGGCAAAATTAATAGTTGTAACGTCTCAACCTTGTGGGACTCCAATATACTCCTTACTTATACTTATTGTTTTTTTTTTTAGTATCTAGTGACTTTTAAAGATTTTTTTTGTGTCCTCCAACATTTGAACCCAAAATTTTCGTTCTTATAAAGTTTTTAAATTAAGTGTCGGTACCAATTGATCTTTAAAGTCAATTAATGACGCTATAAAAAGTTTGTATAATGGAGTACTCAACCGAGCAAAGAATTGGGTTTCACTTTTCAGAATTGACGACAAGTAGTACTAGACGAATATATCTTACTACATCGTCTCATCGTTATGAGTTATGCAATAAAGTATATGACATGAATGATTTATATTTCGGACCGTAGCGGTAGGGATGAAGGCGTTGGGATTGGCTTGCTTTCGAAGAAACTTCACATGGAAGCTTTTGCTTCTTTATTTGTTGAGGGTCTTGAATCTCTTTAAATTATAATTCATGAATATCCTTTTCATATTCATCCGAAAGTTAATCACGTGGTTTGCAATATTGTAATTGTTTGTTGCTTTTGTTGTGTTTTAGGTACGGATGAAGCTTCGGCCCAAGTTGACGGACACTCAATATTTTTCTTATCTAGAATATACATGCACACACAAAGACATATAATATATGTGTGTGTATATAGGACTTGTTTTTTTTTTTTAATTTTTTTGCATAATTTGAGTTGTGTATCTGAGAGAAAAATACTGTAGTAAGAAAACTGAATTTGAATTTTTATAGAAAAAAACATTGTAATAATATTTTTTTAAAATTTTTAAGAGTATTATTAAGTGGACCACTAATTTATCATCGAGTGATGAAATCACATGTTTTGTGATTATGAGAAACACTACTTAGCTTTCCTTTAAGCAAGCAACCAGCCAATTGGTTATCAAGATGGATTCAAACCAAATTCCGTACAATATTTTTGAAAAGAAAGAAAGTTTTATCATCATGTACAGGACAGAAACAAAAAGCTATAAACTCCGAAGAACTTCTTTTAGGAAGAAACCTTTTTTTTTTTTTTTTTTTTTCCTTTTTTTTTTTTTACAATTAATGAGCAAGAGTTTATTAGAAAAAAGAAATAAAGCTCCTAAAAAGAATGTTGTTTCTGATTATGTTATAGTTTTCAAAGTTTTTGTTATTTTCAGATTATTAGCGGATTTTTTTTCCAATATATTTCATTTTCGTTTTATTGCTCAGTGTTGTTTTCACTCACGTTGTCGTTTAAACCAAGTTACCCCATTCTACTTTTTTGTCTCGTTTTTGGCTGAAAAATATTTTTTTGTCTCTCGTTTTAACCAATATTTTTGTTGTAATTTTTTTTCCTTTTTTGTAAATCTGATGGTTTTTTAAAGATTTTATTTGTATTGAATATTGAAAATAAAAAATAATATACTAAATTCCTTTTCGACATCTCACATATTATCTTTCAGTGATTGATGCCGATGATAAAAAACAGTTAGAAATTTTTTTTGTTGAAAATAAAAAAATAATTTACTAGATTCTTTCCTCCCCCCAGCTCCTCCAAACTAGATGGTTATGATTATTTCATTGTTCTGAGGTCAATATTAAAAAGATGGTAATTGTTACAAGGGATAGTTTTTTCTGATTGAAAATTTTATAACTATTTAATTAACAGGCAAATTCATATATAATTTAGCATTCCATTACTATATGGACCCACTTTAAGTGGAGCGTATGACATATACACAGTCACCTAACTCACGTTTCATATCTCTATCAGAAATCATCTTAAGGATCTTTGGATCCACCACTGGGAACTAATACTGTATTTGTAGTTTTATTAGGGTCGTTCATCCAATCCAATCCAACTTATTTTAGTCTATATACCTAATCCAATTAAAGGTCAGTTTTTAGAAATTTCATGTAATCCAATTCAATCCAATTGCCAATATATCATCCAATCCCATTGAGGTCGGTTTGGATTGGATGGACCAATTAGTTTTCAGCTTGAGCCTTTTGTACATTTTATAATTTTTATTTTCATATTCAACCTATTTGTCAGATCTTTTTAACACAATTTAAATGCTATAGTTGAAAAAAAAAAACAAGACTTAACATTTATAAATATTAAAAAAAATATAAACTCCAAATTACAAACATAAAAGTTGATTAAACATCCAACAAACAACTGTAAAGAAACATATTTTACTTTCCAAACTATAAGACAACATAGTAAAAAAACATAATCTAATAATCCAATGTGCATGTCTACTACCCTCTTTGATGATGATCCATAATA